CTCCCCCAAAAACTGCCCGGAAGTAGCCGTAATCGCGAACCCAAAATCAACCGAACCCTAATTCGAAAATCAGATAATCTAAGCTCAAAATTAATGAAATCCTACCCATCCATCAGCTAGATCATGAGGAAATGATTAGATTTCCATATCTCTGGATCGTCAAAAATGACAGCTGGACGACGGAGATCAAACGGCTGGAATTTTCCTCTCTCACCAATCGGTTTTCTGCAAAATCTGACGGCGTCGCTGCCGACTGACGTCGGAGAATAGGTGGGGAAAGACGGCGGAGTCAGGCCGGTCATTTTGGGACCGGTCCCGTCCCACACGGGGGCCGGCGTCAACTTTGGTGGCCGGACGAGAGCACGACCGACCAAAACGTGGCAGCATGTTCCAGTCGTCACGCGAGAGGAGAGAGAGAGAAATGAGGGCATTTCTGACTTTTATCAAAATTTCATTTTTGAAATATTTACGATTTTGCCACTAGTGATGTTTTGCTCGTAACTTCTTCGTTAATGCTCCAATTTAAGCTCTCTACGTGTCTACGGACTCGTCTCAGTACCACCTACGCAACCAAACCACTCGTTGTCCCAAAATCCTTTTGGGTAAGGAAATGACCGAATTACCCTTACTTTAAGGGTAAATTCATAATTTCCCTTAATTAAATTAAAATAGGAATTAAATTTGGAGTCGGGGTGTTACATATTATGATTGACTTTTTCCTCATTCATTTTCTAAATTTATGTCGCTTGTCGTATGCACACGAAACTACATTACATAACAACGAAAGTAAAACTCAACATGCCATATGTCACACAAGTTGGAAAATAGGTTCCTTAACAGTAAATGCTATTTCTTTATCTCCATATATACCTTCGTCCAAACCAAACACATGTTATCTGGTGGAACACTGCACCAGGAACTTGCAGATGGCTAGGTAATCAAACTAGTCATACAGACCAAGAAATTGAAAACTTTATAAACTTATGAAATGCACAAGCATGAGTGAGTACCTGCAGCAGCTTGGAATGGTCTTCAGAAGGTTCCATTGACCAGCTCTAACAATCACCTCAATTTTTGCGGGAAGCCAACTAGCTGAAACATAGACTTTACACCTAACCTTGAAAAAAAAAAAGTGACAACTACTATTTTTTTCAAACCAAGAGATCAAATTTGTATAAAATATTTATTTTCCAATTTCTTTTTTACAAGCAATAGTCTACATTAATCTTTTATGTGGAGGGGGATTCGAACTTGAGTGCTAGGGTCGGCCTCTCTACCCTAACCTAAATCTGCATTTTCCAATCTGTTTATACCTATCCTTTTTGTTTTTACAAATCAACAATATAAAAATATTTATTAAAAAAAAGTAAGATAAAGCCGAAGCCAAAAATATATATGATCCGCAAAAGCGAAAAGGCATTCATATCATTATGAGGAGCAACATTTGGCTTGAACGAGATCTGCCCTTAGCTTCCACTCTTAGGGTTTAGGGTTTAGTGGACTAATACAAGTTTCAATACATAATTGAGTTAACAATTCACCAACTTTTTTATCCAACAAGGGAGCACTGAGAGATTCATTATTCATTGCATAAACCGCATTAGTTGTATCCGGTACATGAAAGAATTTTGTATTTTGAGTATTTGAAAAGGCAATCATCGTACCAAATTACAGCTCCTAGCTTGTTAGGGCATAGCCTACGAAGCTCTTGAGCTGCTTCTCTGATACATCCTTCGCAACGTGTGTGCCTGAGAGGTTTTACTCCAACATTGCACTAGCCCAAATAGAAAATTATGAACTGTTATTCCCCTTTTTTCCCCTATGAAGCCAGTACAGCTCGAAATTCTAGCTCATTAAAACAATTATGCCCCACAAATAACAATCCGAAGGCATGCGCATGCTCAAGAAGGAAATATAATAACAGACGCACGAGATGGATCAATAATGATTTTATATCAAACGCACCCAAAAAAAAAAGATGTTTTAATGGCCATAGGCGCAATATATTTATATATACGCATAAAGTCTTAATAGGCTTAATTATTATTTTACCTCTCAACTTGGATTTATTAATATAATTTTCAAAAGGTCAAAAGCCCAAATCGGATCTTGATTCTTAATAGGCTTAATTAGTATTTTACCTCTCAACTTGATTCGAATCTCAATTTTAATTCCTTCAACTTGTCTCTCTTTTTACGTAATTACGTCATCTATTTTAAAGTTATTTAACGTGACATGTATGTGGTCCAGTCTTTTGCTTACATATAAACTACGATCGGGCCACATATTTTGTTAAACAAAATTTTAAAAACACAATTTAAACAAAAAAGAAAAAGAAAAAAAAAACATATAAATTGTTCTAATGTTGTTTTTTCTCAATCAAAAAAAAAAAAAACCTCTTTCTTGCATGAAGTGATGAGTTACTCCTATCCGTAGTTTAGATTAAATTAAAGTAGAATATCGCTCATATAAAAAGAGTAAATAAAAAACTTGCCTATAAATTATAAATAATTAAGGTTAAAATATCTAGCTCACCTATAATTTTTGAAGAGGAACTTAAACACACTACTTTGCCTATAAAGTATGTAACTGTTCATTTTTTGGATTCTCCTTCCATGATCATTACCCAAAATATAACACTATGAGAAATGCATACACTACTATTTAAAACCTCTTATGGATTAGAACAAAATGTTTCTTTTGTTACGATATATTTCAGGCTATTAATTTGAATTGCACGTTCTTATAATTATTTTTGTATCATAGCAGTGGCGGAGCTAGGATTTCACATTAGAGGGGGCCTTTCACAAAAAAAATTAAAAATAATTCGAATAAGAGTCTTCAAGCGCTAAATGGGTTAATAAGTTAATAATATCATTTCATACTAATTAATAATTTATCCATTTATTACAATCATAATTGTCCTGAACTTCATATTTTAACATGGTTGAATATTAATCTCATCATCTACAATATTAAAGACTCAAAATTGAATAATTTATACTTCAACAGAGAGAAGAAATACAAAAATGTTCATAAATCCCAATATTAAGATACCCTACTTAGACATGTAAAATGGGGGAAAGGAGAATTCACAAAGCTTAAATTAATCAAAAGAGGAAGGGGAGGAAAAAAAAGGAAGAAGAGTTTTTACTTCAAGAAGCAAACATATAAGTAAAAATATGAGAAAATAAAAAAAAATGAGAGAGGGCCTGGGCCTAGTAAAGGAGGGCTTTAAAATTCTAGACAAGGCCAATCCTAGCTTGGGGGGGAGCTTCTACAATGATGAGTTAAAGTGAGGAGACCGATCCGACCGTCAAAACATTTAAAATATTTAAGTCCAATGATTTCTTTACATTTGTTGATGGTGAGATTTGACCTCCTCAAATAACCTCCTCACTTTAAGCCCTCATTATAGCCTTTCCGAGCCTAGGGGTGGCTCCTCCGTTGGTCATAATGTTTTTAGTGGTTTTGTCAAATCTCATGTTTTTATATTTATCCGGTGAGGTAAGGAAACCTTGGTTCACACAAAGAATATTCATTTGAAGATTCGTGATAACATAAATAAATTATGGCAAAGGAAGGATTAAATCAAGTCTCTTCTAGGTCATGTGATTGATGTGCCATAGAAATTAAAAACAAAAACTTGAGAGGAATAGGCGATGGAATTTACTCGTTCAACCGTATCCTATTTCATCAAGACTGTTGAAGCTTCAAGCTTGATCTTCTCTCCTTCACTTTAGAAAGTTCCCTAAGTCACAAAGATATATGTGACCTCCACTCCAAGTCTCTTCACCAACTTGATTGTGGGATGAAGATCATGAAGCCTTAAATAGAAGATGGTGCTAGCAATCAGACTGTAAAGTTTCATCAAACTTCAAATTCAACATCATTATCTAGTTAATTATTATCCAATGAAATAACTACACGTGTAAAATAAATAAAACAAAAATAAATATACAAGCAAACCAAACAATTACGATCAAATTCGTGTTTTAAACCATTTAACTATTTTCTTGGTTAAAACCAAATCAAATCAAACCGCCCATTACAGTTTGCCTCGACCTGTTTAGTCGGTTAAGCCAAATTGATGCCCACCCTTCCTCTTAACCATGTAACCAAAAATGATCAAAACCTCAAATGGAAGGGAGGCATGAGGTTCTTTAAATATGACTTTCAAATAAGTGAAACCCTATCTCACCCTAGTCACTAGAGTCTAGTGTGGCTGGCCGGCCGTACATAACCTGGGGCCCTATTGGGTCCTCTGCCCAATGGACCTAAGATCCCCATGTCCATAATAATGATGACTCTGGCTGAATCTAAGCATCAAGCGTAATGAGCCAGCCCTCATGACCTTTCTACAAGCCATCAACAATCAGGTTTACCTAGTCAACAGTTGGGGGCCCAAGCAAACCAGAGCTATTGGCTGCAGGCGGGTTAATGAAGATAAGCAATACAAGAAGTGACAATTATATTTTGAAGAGAAGCATATCAGGTGAGCCCCATGGTGGCTATAGAAGAGGAAAGGCACGAAGGAAAAACAAGAAGTCACAATTATTTTATTTCTTTTGAAGTCTTTGCCTTTATCTATTAGTTTTGCATCAAATAATGACAAGTCCATTGTCCAATACGAGAAAATAACTTTATGGTGAGGGGTAGCTAGCCAGCTTGGAATAAGAAGTCAGACATCCCAACAAACTAATTCACAACAATACTTTACACAAATAAGCTTTTAGTCCTCAGCTTAAGACATAAAAGATAGAATATAATAAGCCTGAATATTAATAACCCTTCAAATAAATTACCCGTTAATTCAATGGTTAAGACAGGGAGTGTTCCTAGAAATGCATATGTATTTGTAGAGAAAGGTTAGACAAGAACGACAACACAATTAGCTATATATAGTGATAAATCTTTCTCTGTTATTGTAGATGGTGAATCATAGTGCAAACCTTGAAAGACAAAATATGTTTTATTTCCCTAGTGTCCTGAAAACCATTAATCCTGTACCTTTTCGGTGTTTTCTGATCATCCTCCTTTGTCACCTTGCTGATGCCGCCCCTCCATATTGGAAATGCTCAAATGTTAGTTATACAGATAACAGTCGGTTTCATAAAAACCTAGGCGATCTTCTCATTTCGTTACCTTCGAATGCTTCTGTTTCCAAGTATTACAATACGTCCACTGGAAATGATCCTGACAGAGTATATGGCCTCTATATGTGCTTTGACTATGTCGCGAATGAAATGTGTCGGCGCTGCATAAACACCGCGCAATCAGACATGCTGATGCTTTGTCCACACTCAAAAGAAGCGGTTGTGTGGGAGGATTCCTGCCTATTGCGCTACTCCAATGAGAATTTCTTCGGCAGATTGAATGTAAGGGACAACATCGCCGATGAGAATTCACAGAATATTTCAGACCCGAAAAAGTTTGAGTCTGTTTTGAATGAGACGTTGAATCGCCTCGCTAAGCAAGTGGCTTATAATCTCTCTGCTGCTGAGATGCATGCTACTGAAGAAGTAGCTTTTGAAGATAAACTGATATATGCTTTTGTGCAGTGCACTACCGACTTATCTAGAGATGACTGTGATAAATGCCTTTTGAGAGCCAAAGAAGACGTTTTAGCATTGTATTATTTCTCCGTTGGTGCAAGACTTATGAGTCGTAGTTGCTATCTGAGGTTTGAGTTATATGCCTTCTATACTGCCGTAGCATCCGAAGCTTCTGCGCCTCGCTCTCCAAATAAGAATGGTACAAATCTCCTAATGTTTGACGTAATTAAATTGTGCATATTATCATAGCCTTCACGGCATGGGAAATCCATGATGAACCGAAATTAATGAATGGCTTCCATATACATGCAGGTAGCAGCAGGAAAATATTGTTGATCACAATCCTTACAGTTGTGTCAGCATGCCTGGCAATACTACTTTTGGGTTCCTGTGTCTATCTTGCAGTGAGAAAAAGAAATAAAGAAGGTAGTTATGCTTAATTATGAAAAAAAATATACTTCAAAGTCCTAATTGTTTTCTTAAAACAGTTTTTTTTTTCAGGAAGAAATTATCGAAAAGCACAGGACCCCTATATCAGTTTGGCAGCTATACATGCAGCTACTTCCAACTTCTCTGATTCAAATAAGCTTGGAGAAGGTGGTTTTGGTCCTGTTTACAAGGTATTGAGTTTGTTTCGTTCAATAAATTATGAAAATCTTGCACAGGTGCTTGCTTAGTATTTTTGTGACTTGGAAGAGAATCGGGTGGTAATTTCTCAGGGTATACTAAATGATGGAAGGGAAGTGGCAATCAAAAGGCTTTCAAGCTTGTCCGAGCAAGGTTTAGAGGAATTCACAAATGAAGTTCTACTGATAATGAAACTTCAGCACAAAAATCTTGTCCGGCTTTGTGGTTTTTGCGTAGACGGAGAGGAGAAGCTCCTTGCATATGAATTCATGCCAAATAGCAGCCTAGATGTCATCCTCTTTGGTTTGTTCATTTCTGTTTATCCTTTGAATTTCAATTACTAAGGCAAACTTAAGAACAATTACATGGTCAAGATTTTCTGTTTTGAAAAAAAAAAAATTTAATTAATGTATGACTTCTTTTCTTATGATGGATGGTCAGATTCAAAGAAACGTGCACGACTTGATTGGAGCCGGCGCATTAGCATTATCAGTGGGATTGCAAGGGGGATTCTTTATTTGCATGAGGACTCTCGACTTAGAATCATCCATAGAGACCTTAAAGCTAGCAATATATTATTAGACAATGACATGAATCCAAAGATCTCAGACTTTGGCATGGCAAGGATCTTTGTAGGAAGTGAAGGAGAAGCTAATACTGCTACAATAGTTGGCACTTAGTAAGTGCTTGATTTCTAAGTTTTCAATAAAACCATATTATTTGATTTCTACAGATTTATAATATGTTTTGGAATTTTGTATTGGAAAAGTGGATATATGGCTCCAGAATACGCAATGGAGGGACTATACTCCGTGAAGTCCGATGTTTTTGCCTTTGGAGTACTCTTGATTGAGATCATAACTGGGAGAAGGAACGCTGGCTTTCATCTGATAAAACGCGTTCCTAGCCTCATAGCATATGTACGTTTGTCTGGCTTAGACTGCATTACACTTTCTCATTCTCAAAGCTTATTGATGTTTATCTCATTGAGTGATGATATGCAGGCATGGCAATTATGGAATGAAGGAAACGGGCTAGAGCTGATGGATCCGTTACTGGTTGATTCATGTGACGCCGATGAATTTTTAAGATATCTCCATATTGGATTGTTGTGTGTTCAAGAAGATGCGGATGACAGGCCAACCATGTCTTATGTTGTTGTCATGTTGAAAAGTGAAACAGTAACTCTTAGCCCACCTGAAAAACCTGCTTTCTCTACAGGAAGGTTTGCTGATCATTGTGAGATGAGGGCTGATCATATTATCTCAATCAATGAACAATCAGTTTCTGATGTTGTGCCACGGTAAGGGGAGCTGATCCGTGGAGCTATGCATGGAAATCGTGATGCTGGCCAAGCACCAAGTTTAATTTGTGTATCTGCTGTTGACTTAAAGCATTTCATAGAGAGACCACAAGTTAAATGATGATGTATCAAATAAATTTTGAATTGCAATTGAACAATATATCTTCTCTTTTCCACCTTGAATTTCGAATTTCGGACATAACAAAGTTATTGTGGGAACTGCACATAGATCATTTAACTCACTTTTAGGAATTTTAGGGCATCAAAATCCTAGCTCAAGATTGCCAGCTCTAAATTCAAAACAAGTAATAAAAATACAGAAAACACCTGTGGGGAACTTGTAGCTCTACGGGTTAAGAACATTCACCCCAACACCGAATTCGAATCTATCTTCCCCTGTATTGTTTGATAAGAAAGGTTCACTCAGATTGGGCTACTTCCATGATCCGTTCCTCTAAACAAAGAAGAAGATTAAACAATCTCTCTTGTCCTGACCCAGTTATCAATTTAGGTTACAAGGGAAAAAGTTACCTAATTTCACAGCAACAAAGTAAAAGAGAATGTCAAAAATAGAGTACAGAAATCTATGATGCGAAAAAGAAATAATCCTTTTTATTATTATTATTAGAAGGTTCAGAGGATTGTAAATTTGTTGACAGTAGAAGGAAAACTATCATACTAAACTTCCAAAAGAACTCTAAGCAACAAGGTCAAGCAAAGAAACATTGAGCGACTGATTAGCAAGGTTTGCCAAAACATCAGCTGCCAAGTTTATAAGGTGAATTAAAACCTTGGAAGCACATCAGACTTTTTCTAGAGGTTGCCTTCTATTAAATGACCAGTAGTTGATTATAAAGACAATATAACTTCACCATTCTCTTTATTAATTATAAAAACTGCTATTTCCTATCAATTAACTACTCCTTCTAGCTGATGTTGATGAAAAAAAAAAAAACCATAAGCATACTCCTATGGAAAGGATATGAGGCTATTTCCACACTACTCTCTCACATAGCAAATTATTTTTTCTCTATTTTCTAGTGGATTCCAGTTGTTAATGGATTTCCATTTATCTTCTCGGGTTTAGATGTTTGTCGGTGCATAAACACGTGCTTTAGGCTGCAGTCAAAATAAGCCAAAATAATGGTAGCTGATACACGTTTCTAAGACCAAATGGTTTAATAATTAGAATCAATTTTTGTCTTCTTGTACTCGTCGATTTGACCTGAATATGACTGAATTATATTTGATGACCATGATGATGCTTCTTGTATTGAAATTTTCATAATGCATTTCTCAGTCAACCTCTGTACCAACCTGTAGCATTGCCCAACTGGGTGTAACGGAATCAAACCAAATCTAGGAGTAGTAGTTATCTTGACATAAAAACAAAAGCTGTGGTATCAGCTTTGGACTGAATCCACTTATATCTATATAAGATTAGTAATTATCACATGATTTGATATAAATTAAAATTAAGGAAACCAGAAGTTGACGTCTTCCATGAAACATGTGTTTGACTTTGATGAAAGGCCATTGACTTATACACCGAGCATCTAATCATTAAGCTTTTTAATTCAAACATCAAGATTCAAATCCGATCGACTTAATAGACATAACTAGTATTAAAAGAAAAATAATTGTTTCTTATGTAAGCACCTTGTTGTGCTTCTGATGTAATCAGCCAAATATCTCGGAGATTATTTAATAAAAATGGTGTAATTTCGTGCCGCATTCTATGCTAAGTTCATACCCTTTGCTAGTAATTTCAGGTCTTGTCTCTTCAATTAGAATGTTCAGAAGTTTGAAGTCAGTCTCTTATAAACCAACCAATAGCTTGTTTAGCCAGTCCCTGTAGCTAGAAATCAACTCTGAAATAATGACTCTTTCATCAAGTATTTTGAGAATGTACATACCGTAGAACAGTAATGTACAGTAATCATATGAACAGTAATATGGGTATAAAGAATTGTATGCATCCAAGGTGCCAAAGGCTTTGATTAATCAACTTCTAAGCTCCTAATACAATGTTAGGTTTTGTTTTGGGCTAACTTTGTGTCCAACTGTGCTCCATCTTTGGAAAATGGACAAAAGTGCACTTTGTGTTTTGCTTTTCGTGATTATACAACTAGCAATCCCTGCCAGCCTCTCTGGTGTA